CCTGAAAGGACAGGGGCGCTGTCCGAGTTAGTACCATTAATTATGTCGTTCTGTAGTCTGTAATTCAAAAACGATGAAAACTAAAATAAAATATCCGAGATGATGCCGTTGTGTTTTAGCTCACCTGGTCTAAGGCGAGCTTATGCAATACCGTGGTGTCCGTCGTCCGTCCGTCAACAATTTGTTTAAAAGACTTCTTCTTCTTAACCACTTATTGGAATTTAACTAAATTTGATTGGAAGCATCCCTAGGTGGTGGGAATTCAAAATTGTACAAATGGTGGGACTGAGCCCCGGGCTAAGGGGTGGGGCCAAAAAAAAATATTTCTTGGAAATGGTTGAGATCCCCAAAATATAACCATAGATGCAATTGCTGAGTATAAAGAGAAGAATGCACATTTGCTTCCAGGATGGCCATAGAGTCTGGCCACACCATTGGAGACATAGTCCATGGGCCATAATTTTAAAACGGTTGAGATCCCCACCCCAAAACTATATATACAAATGCTGGACATAAAGAGACGAATGCAGTCATTTTATTAGAATAGACCCTGGGGTCTGACCGAACCCCTAGGGACCTAGTTTCTTAGCCACAGCTTTGAAACAGTTGAGATCCCCACCCTATAAGAGATTAATGCACATATGCTTCCAGGATGGCCTTGGGGACTGCCCCACCCTTGGAGACTTAACCCCTGGGTCATAACTTTGAAATGGTTAAGATCCCCACCCAAAACTATATATGCAATTGTTGGGCAAAAAGAGACAAATGCAGTCATGATATTAGAACCGATCCTGGGGTCTGGCCACAACCCTAGGGACCTAGTCACAGCTTGGAAAAAGTTGAGATCCCCACCCCATAACCATACATAAAATTGCTGGGCATAACGTTTCTAATTCAGATATGCTACAAGAATTGGCCTTGGGGTCTGGCATATTCCCTTGGATCTCATTTCGAGAATATTTTGCCATGATTGCTTAGATATCCAGGTGAGCGATACATGCCCTCTGGGCCTCTTGTTTAATTTGGAAAGTAATCTTGCATGAGGGACTTTATCGAAAGCTTTTGAAAAATCAAGATGGGCGGCATCGATTTGTTTATTTTTATCAAGGTGTCTTACTATTGTCAGAATCAGTTGGGTTTCAGTGGAAAATTTTGTCCGGAAGCCATTTTGTAAATTGGTATAGATGGTAAGATGTTCGAGGTGAGCCATAACGTTGCTGTTGATAATATGTTCCAATAATTTACATGTGATGCAGGATAGGGAGACAGGACAGTAATTGTCAGCAGCTTTATCACCTTTTTCGAATACTGGAACAATGTGTGTTACAGGCCAGTCGTGTGGTACAGTGCCTGAATCTAAGGATATTTGGAAAAGATTTGATATTGCATGTGAGATTTCTGGTGCCATTTCTTTTAGAATCCTGGTAGGGATATTATCTGGGCCGGTAGCTTTATGTATGTTGAAAATGCTTACATACACCTTGCTCACTAATGGTGATATGTGACATAGGTTGAAATGGAGCTGGGCCTAAATCAGGTAGCTCGGAGAAGTTTTCATTAGAGAAGTTTACTTTTTGAATCAGATTTGGCAAGACCATCTGCAGGATTCCTGATTGGTGGAATAATGTCTATATCCATTATTTTTACTTTTGATAAATTATTTTTTTCTGAAAGTCGTTGGCTGATAATGTCATGTACATAACTACTATATGGTAAACGGGTCTCCTTTTGCATCGTAGATTTTATCTTTTTGTACCTCTCCCGATCTTGTAACTTGTGGGGCTTCTTAGCATTGTTGTATGATCCCCGTTTTTGTCTGGCTAGCTGATTGCTGTTTGTTATTAGCCAAAGGATTAATGAATTTTGACCTGGATAGTTTTTGAGGTACATGTGTTTTGACTGCAGAGTGGATTACATTCTTGAAATGTAACCAGGCTTGGTTTATATTCAAAGTATGATGTTCTAAGCATGTCAAATCGTGTGTGATCTCCTTTTTCATAAGGGGGATATTGACATTGGCCTTATTCCATAAGAATATAGTATGCATTGGTGACTTGACAGGAGGAGTTTAAATTTCGTTGTCAATAAAGACAATGTCATGATCTGACACACCTGGGACTGCCTTAAACTTATTGATCACTGATGGCATGCATGTTGGTAAGAACGAGATCAAGAGTGTTGTTATTTCGAGTGAGAAAAATTACTTCTTGATTCAAGTAAAGGTCATGATAAAGAGTAACGAATTGTTCACTTGGGATCTTGGGGCAGTTATTACTTGCGATGACACTATCAGGCCACCTCCTAGCCAAAATATGTGGTTTGGATATTCGTTCTAGAGGTTCGTGATTTCTATCACAGTGTCGCTTATGAACTGTGGATCCGTTTTATTAGATGGACTATAATATGAGGCTATGATAATGGGCCTTTGCTTACTAGGATGGATTCTAGCAGCCACTAGTTCTACATTGTCGCTTTTGTAGGCAAGAGTGGCATTCCGATTAGATCTGGTAGCAATGGGAACACCGCCACTTCGTGATGTTCCATCATCTGCAAGAGGTCAAGGGCATTGTTGCTAAAATAGAATGTTACTTCTTAAAATACTAACTTGGTTTATTTCGTGCCCTAGTGATTCCGAATTAAATGCCTAATGATATAAGGGGCAGGCAGTCAGAGGTCAAAATCATCGTTGCTAAAAATGATTTTGCTTTTCTGGGCCGCCTTTAGTGTAACTTGTAAATGGAAAATTGTAAAAAAATCTTGATTTCATATACATACAAGAGATCCAAGAGGGATCTTAGCGCCCATCATTGTACCATCTTCATTAGTTCATTGTCAGTTCAATCATTTCTCTAATCTGTTTGATCGAGTCATGTTAACAGGAAATGCACCTTGACGTAACTTTTGATCTAAACTAAATACTGATGTGTATGAAAGCCAACCTCCAAAATGAGTTGTCATTTCACATATTTACTTAAATGTACTAATATATTACTTAATATGAAAGAAAAAGAATCGATCATTGCAATATGAGAAAGATATGCTTAGTTCTTCCTTTAACCATTTTGTTTTTATGATCAGTTTATAAATTTAACATGCACAACGAGGGATCAAGGGGAACGTATATATCATATTTGAGAAAAATCCCTCTATATATTCATGAGAAATAGTACTAACAAACCTTCAA